CCCTACCCGTCGTGATGTGATGATTAGTGTGTACTCACTTCAACCCTAACCTTAAAACGATGACCAGTGCATTCATCCGTTGTAATAGTAGTACAACCATCGTCAATCAAAAATCGCCACTTTAAATACGGTAACTTACATGTACTGCATTGAGCTTTTGACACACGAGGAATGCTTGATTGCCGACATTTATGACGCAGTGAAATGTACTAATTTGGAGTTTGTCACGTATTGGGAAAAGGAAAGTAAAGAATGGCTTGAAGCAAATAAGTCGCTACACCCTCCGGAGATTTTCCTTTTATTAAGTATTTATTGAAAACAATATGTAGAATGACTCCACAAAAGAAATCATACCTTATGTAGTTGCGATATGTCGTAGGCCTTACTAAAAGTTAAAAACGAGTCCTTACGAGTTTAAATGTTAGATGCTACATAAATATATTAATTAACCAATTTATAATTAGTAGCTTGTAGCAATAAATGTTTTCTGTCCATGAACGTTGGACACAGATTGCCGTAATTGACCTTGAATGTTGTTGCTTATGTCCCACGTTTAGGCGTCATGTTTAGACGTATATTTGTGGGATATGCGCGTAGACCTGGCCAATGCCGTGCCACCTAGTGGGAAAGTTGGGACAGTATCACATAATTTTGCTATTGGGTCCACAAATAATGGGTCCACATCTTAATAATGGGTCCAGATTTCTCATATTTTGTGTAAAATGGGTCAACTTTTAAGAAAATGGGTCCAGATTTCTCATATTCTATGTAAAATGGGTCAATTTTTAAGAAGCTGGGTCCAGATTTATTCATATTTTTGCGAAAAAAATGTTACACTTTTTAGAAAATTGGTCCATATTATTTGAATTTACGCGTACAATGGGTCCACCCTGATATTGTCCCAAACAGTTTGAAAATCCTACCGCATTGGTCCTAGGAGCATTATTGGCTTGTTCTGATTGGTCGGTTGTTATTTCTGGAATAGTCCATTATCTCCATGTCTGATCGAACATTGTTGAATCTGACTGAATCCCAACATTACTCAGATGATGATTTTTTTGGTGAGGATAAAATGTAGTTTCTTAGCATGTCCCTTAATTTCACACTAATTTTGTTTAGAATAGAAACACCGAGGTTTCCGTAATTCAACCTCCTTTACGTGATGTTATTTAAACTGAGAGTTTATATCAAAATGAACATAAAGATTGTGACGGAAACGAATCCCTGTTTCAGGCCTAGTTTGACCTGGAAATAGGCCTGAAAGTTTCATCATTTGCATAAAATTTATTATTTAGGCACATATGGTCTAACTATTGCCAATAAAGAACTTATTATTGCCTATGCAATTCCTTATACAGTACGAACAGACGCGGTACCTAAAGCCGCATTCACACCGGATCCGAACCGGAATTCGAACCGCGTTTCCGATGCGCTGAACGCGCCAACATCCCTATTCTTACACACTGATTCGATTTTCTGGGCGGTTCGGTAGGCTTTCCGATCCGAAAAGTCAGCTTAATGCAGGTTAAGTCTAGTTATGAGGCTTTTAAGAGGAATACAGTTTTTGGTCGTGAGAACAGCTTCTGAAATTTGACAAGAATTGAGCCCAGAATCCTGTATTTGTAAGACGAGCACCTTACCCAAATAGCTACATCTCTACGATGCTGCTAAACAAAATACAATCTATGAACTACATATTTTCAAGGACCTTTAGGCATTTTAGTGCAATATAACCGTTATAGTTGGCGTCACGATTCCGGGTTTGGGTGTTTACCAACCCCTTTTAAAAGTCTGATAGGTATGTATCTGACGTCGTTATTATGGAATCACAGGAATCCAGTAAATCAAATTTATATTTTTCTCATGGTAGAATAAGGCGCAATTGAATGATTGATAACGCTGTATTTTATTCCAACAATATCCGATTTGCAGGTTTCCTTCCGTGGGCCTACACACAATTGCGGGTTTGGGTGTTTACCAACCCCTTTTAAAAGTTCGTTATGGGTATGCATCTGACGTCATTATTGTGGGATCACAGTAATCCCAGATCAAATTTTTATTTTTCTCGGGGTAGAATAAGGCGCAATTGAATGATTGACAACGCTGTAGTCTATCCAACAATATCCGATTTGCGGGTTTCCTTCCATGGGCCTACACAGTAGCTGTCTTTTAACTTGAGTTCCTCCTTTATTATCTCAAAGAACTAAAAGTTGTCAGCAAACGTGTAGTTTTTTTTTTGCTACTATGGATTCGTATTGTTCGACTAGCGCGATAATTGTTTTATGTCAGTAATCATACGGGCTGTCCATAAGTTTTCTTGTTAAATAAGTTCGCCGAGTCACTCGGAACCTGGTTTGAGATGTAGACGTGGGCCTATACAACGAAACTTATTGGCCAATAATACCGTTGCATAAAAACCTCATACATTCAACTAAACAATTTAAAATTTGTGATAGAACGTGCTTTGACGAAAGCGCTAAATCTATGCCAATTCGATTAATATACTATAGATAGGCTTTAACAAAGTCCATGAGTGAAAAATAAAAATTAGCATGAGAGAAAAAAATGTTTGTCACAAGTTATCGGACGCATAGAAATATTCACTTTTGAATTTAAGATTTTTGTTGTAAAAGTCTGTCAACCTGAATTAGATCTTTAAATTCAAGCAAACAATGTTCTTATAACTTGTATAAATTATAACCCTTTTAAAATATTCCATTCACTTTTGTAATGGAAATGGAAATACGTTTGTTTGAAACCTTGTTGGGCTGCTATTTCTTGCTTTTATTTTACAATTGTATTTTGCTTTGACATTGTCTTCTTTGTCTTCATATTTTACCCTGATTGCTAAATAAATTTAAAACAAATAACGAATCTAGAAATGTATTAGCATATAGACGTAGGATACGGTAGCTAGTCTACTTATAACAAGGCCTAGGCTAACAAAAATCGGGAAGGTGATTGACTTACAAAGCAAACAGAACAAGATTGACGTGGTGTATACATTTATGTTCTCGGAAATAACTCCATCTTTATTTTTTGTATAGGTTCAGTCTCTAAAAGCACACGTCATCGCTGAAATATGCAGGAACGATGAAACTATTCTCTTGTTCCAAACTGTGCCGCTGACTTTTAATTGCGGAAACTAAAAAGAAACCTTACTGATTGACCGACACCCTTATTATCACTTGCTAAAAATTATTGGTTTTTTTCCCTTTTATTTAAAAATAATAATAATAAATTTTACGAAAATGCAATATTAATATTTATATTGCATGTGAACATAAGGGAGCAGGTTAAAAGAACTGTGCTTTTACATTTTTTTAAAGAACACATTTATAAATACACCGATGCTGATGTTGCTTTGAAAACCATAACAAAATAAGAATAAATTGAGGCTAAAGGAAAAAATGTCAAATGAGGTTTTTATTTTTTTTAAACCTGGAAAATCCAACAAATCAAGCTATTCAGAGTAAAGTATTAAATTAATGTTTAAATCGTCGCTCACATCACGAACTAACACAATTAAATTCAATTGTGTTAGTTCGTGAAATAAAAAAGCGCGTCAAAATACGCGCTGTTGTTGTTAAGGACTTTTTGTGTGGTAAAGAATACAAAATTGCTTGACAACCAATACGCACTCTTTTTGACGCGCTACTGTGATGTCACAAACTAACACAATCTACTTTGATTGTGTTAGTTCGTGATGTGAGCGACGAAATGTTACATAGCAGTGGTATAGGCCTATCTGTGTAATAATATTTTGTTTTTCTTCGAAGATTTAAGGCTTTGTCTACACTATCAAATTTCATCAAAAAAGCGTCACACAAAATTATTTGGAACATAGAGTTGAACACGTTCAACTTTTTTTTATACAATTTGATTATATGTAATATGACGTCATCGTGCCCATATATGGGGACATCACATTTTTTGCCACATAAAATTTGATAGTGTAGACAAAGCTTAAGAGTGTATAAAATAAGAACCGGAACATTTTGAGCCTCAGATTGGCAAAAAAAAAAAGGAGAAGAAAAAAAGAAGAAAACTGGGCCTGGCCAACATTTTAATGGTATTACCTCCCTTGTTGCCACCAGTGGCTCTTAACTTGTTATTGCCATCGCAATGCGGTTATGCTTTCGTGGTAGCACTTCTTCAAGATGGTCAACAATTTCGTGGAAATGCACACAAATCACACATTAATAATATACTTACGTGGGCTTCAAAATGTATTGAAATATACAATCCTGATTATTATGGTAATAGTAACGGTTGAGGACTTACATAGTGCATTTTTTGTTTTTATTTATTTTGAACTAAATAAAAGCCGATTCGATTGATTGACTGTAGATAGGCCTCTTTAATTATTATCCAGTATAGGCCTCTTGTAAACAGTGAATTATCTAAAAGTCTTAAAATAGGGGTGCTGATGGGGGCGCGAAGGTGAAGTGGGGGGGAAGTGGGGGGGGGGGCTCGATAATCAGTTGAGGGGCGCTAACTCGCAAAATAAGGTGATTTTTAACTACTTACAAGTGATTTTTTTGGGGGAGGCGACTGAGGGCGAGTAATTTTTGGAGGAGCGTGTGCGCTCCCCTCCCCCACACCTCCTAGATACACCCCTGCTTGTAGGTTAGGAATAACTATCATATGTTTTACTTATAATATCGTTAAGGAATGATGTGAACATGTAGGCCTACCTACTAGAAGCGGTTCTTTACGGCGGCTAGGTAGTCACAGATTAAGCCCATGCAATTCAGCACAATGACCTGCTAGTTATAGGTTATTCTCCTAACTTTACCTTTTTATTAAACAACAGGCCTAAGTACACCACATCACCAGATTTAGAATATAAATAATAACGACACCGTTAATGGAACAAAAATTCTGAATTACTAGGCCCAAATATAAACAATAATGCCTTTTGATAAAGATGTCACGGTATAATAGCATTGAATGGGTTTGCCTTGAGAGCGTCCATACTGAGATGATATCAATAACGATGTCTATATTTTGGTATTTTTACAGCCTAGAGATTTACCTTAACTATTTCACTTGGTTGATGTCACATCTCATGTCACATGGAAGGCCACCGAGTATTAATGTTCTCCGATTTAGAAACAGTGTCCCATTGCATTTCAGCATCCCTCGTGTCTCTAGCTATGCGATATCAACTTTACGCTGACTGAGAACTTCCACCCTAGCTGAGGGAATATGAAACAGCTGAAAAACAAATTGTTAAAACATATTTCGTTAATATATTATTCTTTAAAATTGAAATTGTTAATAAGTACAATGTTGGGTCATTCTCCCGTCCACACAGCCTTTTTTGTGCTGTTTTTTAACAGATTGATTCTGACGTGACGTTGGATATTTATCTTTATCTAGGGTACTGAACTTTCCAGTTTTGACCACAGATGTCAACTATTGGGTAAGTTTATTTAAAAATAAACTTGAGTTGCGTGTGTTGTTGAGATTGAACCTCTTTACGTGTAGACCATCTTCGCCCCCATGATCCATTTCCCAATACAAAGTGTTTTGTGGTTAACTTTATCAGGATCCTTAAAGTTTCCTCGGACAAAAATTAGCTTTTAACAGGTGACCAAGTACAATTTACATTTACATTTTATAGGGCTGTAAAATAATTGTACGTTAGATTAACACTTTCTACAACATTTTGCAAGAACGGTTCACTCGTTGATTGATGCAATGACTTGCGGTATAGCACGATAATTGAATTCAAACTGATATGATCGAAAGATCGTTTTTGGATTAAAACACTTTTCTAAATTAGCAAGACTACTATTTTAAAGATATGGGACTAGTCTTTAAGTCTGCCAATTGAAAATTAAATCAAACTTGAACGGTTTACTTCATCGAAACGTTCAACGGTAACAACATGTGTTTAGAACTTACTCCAATGACATGTTTAGGAGCTATAAAATATTGGCCTTCCATATTGCTGCGAAGCAGCCAATTCATATTCTTGACAGCAATTTGACCTCTGAAAGGTCATTGTTTGTCAAAAAACGAGTGCCTAAGACGACTGAAAAGCGGAGTTTCCTTCTTTCGTTCTGCCGGGTAAAATCAATTACTTTAGGCGACGTTTGTAGAC